AGAGAGAAGAGGATAAAGACAGCAGTGAACAATAGAGAGGCAGGATGTTAATGAGAAATAGATATGGTTTATTACCTGTTGATGATGACGTGTATAGTATTCTCAACTGAACCGGTCTGGGAAGTATTTCATGATGGGTGAAGTCTTTAATAAGCAGAATGAGAAATAGTGATTGATTGTTTAAAAAAAATGATAATAATAATTATTGGGAAAAGCATGGAAAAGATATTGAATGATAAAGCGGGGAGATTGATATCTCTGTATTGACTGACATGCATGGCATTCCCTTTTGAAAAAGCAATGGAAGTCAATGTAAAGTTATATGTAATCTAGTGTAATAGAAAGAAGATTATGATGATGATAATAAAATAAAATTAAAAAAAAAACTTTATGTTAAATAAAATAAGTCTGAAACAAAAGGCTACTAACTACATCGTTTCATTTACATATTATGAAAAAAAAGGAAAAATATGGAGACAGAAATCAGATCCTGGTTGTCGAGGACTGGAGGTAAGGGAGTAGATTTACTACCAAGCATCACTCCTTTGGGTATGAGATGTAGTCTACATCTCAATTGTGGTGGTGGTTAAATGACTGTATATTTGTCAAAATTTGATCAAACCATATATTTTAAGAGAGTTTATTTTATTTGCCAAAAGAGCTTAAATGGAAAATAAATAAAGAGAAAGAGAAAATACTCTGTATTGAAAAGGATGTGGAGAAATCAAAGCCCTTATATATTCCTGACTGTGGTGTACATTTTTAAACTGTTACAACCATTTTAGAAAAGTATTTGAGAGTACCTACTAAATATAAATGTATGTCTGCCTTACAACCAACAAATTCATCTTCTGCATACATATCTAACAGAAATGTATATATGTAATCAAAAACATAGCTGCACAAAAGTGATTCAAAGAGCAAGAGACTCAGCGTTGTTGGTGTAGGTGGTAACATACTGAACTGCAGTGCTAGATGCCACATGGCCAACCACTAGCTTGGACACCCAGTCAACCTAAGAACATGCTGGGCACACTCAGGGTTATCCAAGATCCTAATGAGCTGAAGGGATGGGGAAAGGAGGTTACACCATGATGAGACCCTGTTAAAGGTGCCTGTTTCTCTCTCTCTCTCTCTCTCTCTCTCTCTCTCTCTCTCTCTCTCTCGTATGAGTACACATTCTCTCTCATGAATAAAATAAACTAAAATAAATAGAAAACCTCAATAAACCAGAAATTAAATGAGTAGTTAGAAATTTACACCAGATACAGTGTGGGAAAGGGTAGGTGAAGGAGGAGAGAGTCTGAGGAAATATATTAAGGAGAAAAATAGAGGCAAGGCATTTATGGGACAAAGAAATGGGTTATTGAAGATAACATGTATAGTATTCTCAGCTGGACTAGTGAGAAATGTATACATGTTGTAATATTCACTTTGCAAGCTAAGTGACATACATCATTGAATGTATAAAACAAATTGAAATAAAAATACATTTAAAAAAGAAATTCTTTCCTAAATGAAAATACCAGATCCAAACTTTTATTCTCAAGTTTCACCATACATTCCAGCAGCAAATAATGCTCCAATATTTTGCAAACCATTTTTAACAAGGAAAATATCGGAAAGGAAAATTTTGGACTATCTCACTTATGACTAAAACTTAGCAAATTAAGCCTAGCAAAGTATAGAAAAAAAATAATTTTGGTTTAGCTCAACAATGAAAGATAGCATTAGAAAATCAAAAGGCAACATTAGAAAATTAAAAAATGTAAATCATCATTAACAGATGAAAAGATAAAAATCATCTGATCATCTCAGTAGATAAAGAAAAACATTCAATAACTTTCAACCTATATTCATGATAAAGACTTTCTGCAAGTTAGGAATAGAAGAGAAATTTATTAATAAATGTACCATAATTAATACAATTTGCATACTCTTGGATATTTAGAGTCTTTTCTTTTGCTTTGTTTTATTTTGCTATTATAATTTATGTTGTGATGAACACTTTTGTGCATGTTAAGTTGCCTAACCTATCTGTGTCTCAATTAATAGGATGGAAATAAGACAGCATCTAACTTATGGGGCTATGGTGAGAATTGAATAAGATGTTAGATTTAGCTCTTAGGGAGAATAGAGAGAAAAGTGTGGTTTATAAATCTGAGAAAAACTTGTAACATATTTACCTGATGGTAGATGTCTCACAGCACACCACAGGATCAAGTCAGAAGTGACTCTGTCAAAAATAAAGAAAGTTATTGTCATAGGTCATCAGGAATAAAGGATGTAATATCTGAAGAATGCAATCAGTAATAGGGACTGTTGTGTGCTTTAGGATTCCCTTGTATCATTGGAGATCTTCTGCCTATCCATGCTTCCATCTCTCTAATAAACCTTACTCTCTTCATCTGCCTGTGGTCTATAACACTTTGTTGCTACAGCAGCCAGTGATAATTCTAAATTTGAAGTATGATAAAAAGCCCAGTCTCTATGACACGCTTGGTAGCAGATCAGACTGCAGAGCTGAAAGCCACATACCAACTATGGCTTAAGTCTCAGTCCAGTAAGACTGAAAATACATCTGGCACGTGCATCCATGTCCGGGATTTTAGCAGGCTAAGATATTGGAGGACAGAATCAGGGTGTGACCAAGCTCTGTGGAGTGTAAAGGGTTCATTTCTCTCTCTCTCTCTCTCTCTCCTCTCTTCCCTCATGCATGCACGCATGCACTCTATCATGACTGATAAATTAATCAATCAATTAATTAATCAGGGCATGACCCTTTCCTGAAACCCTACCCATAATTTCTCCTGGCCCTTTGTATAAGAGCCAAACTCTTGGCCATGCTTTGTAAGACCTTTCATCATCTGATGCCCACCTCTACCTCTGGCCTGGTCTCCTATCTTTATACTACTCTACACTCCAGAAACTCTGGACTTCCTCCACTCTCAGCTTTTATACATAATGTTCCCTCTGCCACAGCTACCTGTCCTTCCTCCTCATACTCTTCCACCTGAATAATTCTTATTTGTCCTTCAATTTTCCACTTAAGTATCACTTCTTCAGTTGGTATCTGCTCCCCTTGACCATCCTGAGCTCTTTTATGTACACTCTCAAAGAAGCCTGCACTTTTTCTTTTTTTAAAATTTTTTATTTTTAATTAATTAATTTTATGTTCATTCACTGAGCATAGTCGCAGCACATAAAATGTGATTTCCCAACCAGAATATACTGTATAGTGGCTTAATCATACATGTTATCATCGATAATTTTCCATTTCTAGTTTCATATATATATATGTACATATATATATGTATATTTTTTTTCTCCCTATTTCTCACCCTTTGCCATTTCTTACCCTCCTCCCACACTATCTCTGGTGTCTACAGTTGATTTCCATTCTTTTTCTTTTCCCCACATTTTATTGATTCACAAAATATCTTAAATAATGTAACTACGTTTAATAGAAAAGTCAGCTGATATATACATATCTGTGAATACATATCTGACTTTAGGCATAAAACTGTGAGTAGAAAGAATATGCAATAAAGTAGCACCTAGCTGATGCTATATAGCTTACTGTAGTCATTAAATAGGTATTTTTAAATATATTTTTAATTTCAAGAAAAGTAGTTTTAACTTCAATAAATCAAAATCAAGCAAAAGCAAAGAGAGCTTTGCTTAAAACTTAAAGCCAGGAAACAGGTTAGGATTCTATTCAAATAGTAGATACATGAACCTATCGGCAGCTCACGACAAGACAAAGATCCCTGAATCTGGAATAAAAAGCCTAGAAGAAAATCAGTAATGTTTTAGTCAAAAGTCATCAGATTCTATTTCATCAGTTGAGTCTCATCTACCAGTTAAGTCTCATGTACTTCATCTATCTTTTGTTGTGGTCTGATCTTACCGATTAAATTCTGGGATATAAAATTCAATTTCAGACTTGCTCCTACCATTAAGTTGGCAATTTTTTTTAAGAATTATTTAATTTTATTTATTCATTCATTTTTTTATTTTTAATTTGACCATAGAGAGACAGACACAGAGAGAGAGAAGGCAAGCTACCAGGTCTGGGACTTGAACCGTGGTCAGCTATGTGGGCATGTCCAGTACCTTAACCACCACTCCACCCACTGGTCCTGAAGTTGGCAATTTTCTTAGTTGTTTTTGAATTCTTATTTCTTTGTGTCTGTATTTAGTTCTCCTGGTATAGCACTCCTTTCAGAATTTCTTGGAGAGCTGGTCTGGTATTGGTAAATTCCTTCAGATCTTGTTTATCTGAGAATGTCCTTGTCTTTTCTTCCCATATGAAGGATAATCTTGCCGGGTACAGTATTGTTGGTTGAAACCGCTTTTCCCTTAACACTTTGAATATATTTTCCCATTCTTTCCTTGCTAGCATTATTTCCAATGAGAAGTCCACTGTGAGCCTGATGGGATATCCTTTGTAGATAACTTGATGTTTCTCTCTTGCCAATATTAGTATCATGTCTTTGTCTGTGGTTTTGGTCAATCTGGGTATAACATGTCTTGGAGAATATCTTATTGGGTTGATTCTATTTGGGGTTCTTTGTATTTCTTGGGTCTGGATTTTTGAATGTCTCTTAAATTTAGAAAATTTTCTTCTAGGATTTCATGGAATAGATTATCAATGCCCTTACTAGTTGCTGCACCTTCTGGGATACCAATTATCTGGATGTTGGGACATTTGATGGTATCTAGTATTTATTGTATATTCTCATTTTGGGGGGCAACTTTCTCATTTTTCATGGTGAATTTTTCTAGGCCAGCAATTCTATCTTCTACATCTGAGATTTGATTTTCTGTATGATCTAGTCTGCTTTTAATACTTTCAAGGGACTTTTTGACTTCCTGTATTATAGTCTTCATCTATAAATAACAGTTCCATCTGATTCTTTTTTATGGTGTATATTTCCTCTTTCAGATCTTGCAAGAACTTCCTCACCTCCTGGAACTCATCAGCTCTCTCTTCTGCCTCTTCTGCAGTTCATTCTCTCTTCTCTTCCATCTCTGTTAGCTTTGTCATTATAAATATTCTAAATTATTTTTCTAACATTTCTATGAGTTCCATTATACTGTCTGAGGATGAAGAGGAGTTATTCTTTTCCATTGGAGAAGAGGCACTTTCTTGCTTTCTCATATTTCTTGTGACCCTGTGGTGATTTCTAGTCATCTGATTGATTGTGCATTTCTTCCAAAATCTTGAAGTTTAATCTGAGCATTCAGAGGCATGCACAAGGAGGTGATCTGCAATCTCTATTTCATTCCATTTTTCACACTTTGTGTGTCAGATACAGTGGGAATTGAGGAATATTCTGACCTTAATCATATTCAGATGTTTGGATACTGTTTACTTTTACCTGTGTAGACACTCAGTGAATGGAGGCTGAGCAGCCAAGGAATGAACTTAAAGGAAAAATGAAAAGAATTAGAGAAGAGGAAAGAAGAAGAAGAAGAAAGGAGGAGGAGAAGAAGAAAGAAGGAAAGAAGAAGAAAGAAGAAGAAAGAAAAAAGACAATAAAAAATTTTATATTTTAACTTTAAAAAGCAAAAAATTAAAGCAATATTTCACAGCTCAAGTTCAGTGGCTATCTCAGGATGTGCCTGGCGTTTTACCTTTTCTAAAAGGGAGGGGGAAAGGCACAAATTATCACAATAAAAGACGGACTTGAGAGCCCAGAGAATATTTTACCTTAAAAATAATTTTTTTATAAATGAAAAGACATGGGGAGATACAGAGAAACAGAGAGAGACAGAGAGACAGAGAGAAGGATAAAGAGG